ATAAAGCAAGAATTCATGAGCTTAAAGCAATGGAATCACAAAGTATATGAGTTTGAGTTCAAATTCATCAAGCTAAGTAGATTTTCAGCTGAGGTAGTAAACAGAGCCAAAGCCTTGGAGCAAGCTTAAAATGAGATGTTTGTGGAGAAAAAGACGCAATGGAATAAGAGACCTAGTGCCTCCTCTAGTGCCTCGCAATCCAAGAAAAGTTGAGCTTCGAGTTTTGACCTCAGACTAGATCAGAATCCACAGCATCCTCAGGTAGAGGATCAAAACCTAGAAGAGTTAGACCAACTCACTTAGTAGAGTCAGGATTGGACAAGCCAAATCAATGTCAGCACTGTGGAAAACATCATAGTGGCGTATGCCGAAGAGTCTTGGGAGCTTGTTTTAAGTGCGAAGAGGAATGACATTTTATTCGATACTTCCCATTGATGATCGGAGAGCCTGGTCAAACAGAAAGATCCACTGCTCGAGTGTACAATCTTAAGACCAATTAAGATTGTGATGATCCTAAAAATATTGCAGGTTCTTTTCAGATAGTTGGTAAATCTGTTTTAGTTCTGATTGATCCGGGATCGAATTATTCTTATGTTAGTAGTAAACTGGTGAAAGACTTGAGAATTTTAGTAGAACTTATTCGTAGCGAGGTGTTTGTGACTAATCCATTAGGGCATAATGCTCGGGTGAGACAAATCTATCAAGGATGTTTTATATGGATTCAGGGAATTGAATTACCTACTAATCTAATAGAATTACCATTTGACGAGTGCAAGGTTATCCTAGGAATGGATTGGCTCTATCATTATCACGTCATTGTGGATTGTCGACTTAAGCGTGTTATGTTGAAAAGTCTTGATGGAGCGGAAGTTAGTGTGGTCAGTGAGAAAATCAATCACTTAGCTAATATGATATCAATGATGTTAGCTCGGAAGTTAATGCTACAAGGATGCCAAGCTTATATCACCAATGTGTTAGATACTAGAGCCAAAGAAAGAAAGTTTGCAGATATTTCGACAATCCGAGAGTTTCCAAAAGTATTTTCGGAAGAATTACATGGTTCACCTCCAGATAGGGAGGTTGAATTTCATATTGAAGTGATGTCATGATCGACGCCGATTTCAATGGCTCCTTATAGGATGGCCCCAAAAGAATTAAAAGAGTTGAAGAGTCAGTTACAATAGCTTTTGGATAAAGGATTCATCAAACCCAGTGTGTCACCTTGGAGTGCTCCAGTATTGTTTGTAAAGAAGAAAGATGGTTCGATGCGCCTTTGTATTGATTATCGATAACTTAACAAGGTGACCATAAAGAACAAGTATCATCTTCCAAGGATCAAAGATTTATTTGATCAACTCAATGGACCTACAGTGTTTTCTAAAATTGATTTACACTCAGGGTATCATCAATTGAAGATAGAAGAAAGATATGTTCCAAAAATGGCATTTAGGACTCGGTATGGTCATTACGAATTTATAGCAATTCCATTCGGGTTAACTAACACACCTGCATCATTTATGGATATTATGAACAGAGTTTTCCAATCATACATTGATCAGTTCGTGGTCGTTTTCATTGATGATATTTTAGTGTATTTGAAGTCAATGGAGGAGCATGATGCCCATCTTCGTGTGATTCTTTAAACGTTACAAGACAAGAAGCTTTATGCAAAGTTCTCTAAGTGCGAGTTTTGGCTAACTGAAGTGGCTTTCCTTAGACACATGGTTTCTGCAGAGGGAATTTGATTGGATCCTCAGAAGATAAAAGATGTTCTAGAGTGGGAGAATCTGAAGAGTGTGTCAAAGATTCGGAGTTTCTTGGGTTCGCAGGTTATTATCGAAGGTTTTTAAAGAACTTTTCGATGAAATCTTTGTCTGTAACCAAATTGTTAAGAAAATATATGTCTTTTGATTGGACTCATGAATGTCAAAAGAGTTTTGATGAATTGAAGAAAGTTTTAACAGAAGCTCTGGTATTAGTACAACCGAAATTGAACAAGGATTTTACAATTTTTAGCAACACATCTCATAATGGTTTGGGATGTGTATTAATGCAAGATGAAAAGGTAGTTGCTTATGCTTCAAGATAACTTAAGCCCCATGGGAAGAACTATCTAACGCATGATCTTGAATTAGCAGCGGTGGTCTTTGCATTCAAAATTTGGCGACATTATTTATATGGTGAGCATTGTTATATTTTCACCGATCACAAAAGTTTGAAATATTTATTGACGTAAAAAGAAGTAAATTTTAGGCAAATAAGATGGATTGAATTACTCAAGGACTAAAATGCGATTATATATTACTATCTCGGAAAAGTTAATGTAGTAGTTAATGCTCTTAGTCAGAAGACTTTTGCCCCTTTGCGTAGGTTAAATGCCTGAATCGTGTTAAAGGATAATGGTGCATTGATGGTTAAGTTAACATTAAAACTGGTATTGTTAGAGCGGATTCGGGAGTTGCAAAAGAAAGATGAAAAATGTTTAGCCTGTTTTGAAAAATTAAAAAAAAAAGTGAACTCAAGGACTTTGATGTAAATCCAAATGGGTGTTTACACTGCAAAAATCAAGTTTGTGTTCCTAATTTTGACGGGTTGAAAAGAGATATTTTATATGAAGTACATTGTAGTCCCTTAACTATACACCCAGGAGGGAACAAGATGTATCAAGATTTTAAATAATGTTTTTGGTAGCCATGCATGAAAAGAGACATTACGGAGTTTGCATGGAAGTGTCTTAATTATCAACAAGTAAAAGCTGAACATCAACCGCCTTCGGGATTATTGCAACCGATCTCAATTCCTCAGTGGAAATGGGAAAGAGTTATGATGGATTTAATAACAGGATTGTCGCTATCACCAAACAAAAAGGATTCAATATGGGTAATTGTAGATTGCTTTACAAAGACTGCAATTTCATTCTTGTGCGAACAGAATAAATGGAAAAGTATGTGGAATTATATATAAAGGAGATAGTGCAACTACATGGTTTTAGTGTTATTTATTCCTCATTTGTCATCTTTATGTCACTGTTTTGTTCTACTTGCACTTGTTTTTGGGTAGGAAATTGATTTGATTTAATATGACCAAAATCAACAGTTAAAGGAAAAATTTGGAATATTTTTAGGAGTCGTGACAAGAGTCACGAGCACCGTCTAAGACACAACGCATTCCTGTTTTGACGCACCATATTTTTGGTGGTACAGTCAATAGCTTCTAGAAGGCAGTTCAGCATTTTCTTAGAGTCAACATTCAATATTATTTTAAAGATAAAAGCTTGAGTGATAAATATGAGGTTTTCTATAAGATAAAGCAGAATTTAACTAGAACCACAAGTTTTAGATATTTACATTTATTTTTTGTAATAAACCTTTAGGTTTAAATTTAAGATTCAATTTCAGTATTTTATCTTTATCTTTTATTTATGATTTTTAGTTATTTTATTTCATTTGGATTCTCGGGTACAAATACCCCTTAGGTTCATCATTTGAACTTAGATTAGTATTTATTTTTCCTTGGTTTTCTATATAGAAGTTTATTGTCTTTTCATTTTTTTTACTTTCTATTCTAGTTATTATTTCATACCAAAAATGCTAAGCATGATCCAATTAATGCTTAGCTAAATTCCACCTAGCCTAAAGTTTTGCGATGCTTAAATCTAAATTGTGAGAATTGAGAGCTATTTTTTCCATATTCGGATACCATTTTTCAATTCTCTAGAAACTAGGACTGGCAATCAATAATCCCCTTGGAAGTTATGACATTTTGGGCCACACTTTTCTAAAATCTCTATAGTATAGAGGATACTCCACACCAAACATAACACTAACAATCATGAATCTATTATGACTATTTCTTTAGAGGCAATGTTTGAAAACATTTTGGACATAAATTATCTATGGAATATTTAATCAGATCATCCTTATATATTTGAAAAAAACGATACATCCCAAAAGTCAAAACATGTCATTCCGCCACATTAAACCCAATGCATCACGTATTTAAGAACTTAAGTGGTTCAAGACACAATCATACCACACTTCCCAAAAAAATATCTTAATAAATGTCAATAACGATCCAACAGTCAAGTCTTAGGTCAAGACACTTTATGATATTCCCTAGACTAATGGGGGACAAATATTGTACTTGTACTTGTATCAAAACGACCTTCATTTGTCATCTTCACACATGTACCTTAAAGCCTCTAGAGAAAAAAACTCTTTGTAGGTAGAATCCCCAAAAAAAAACACCTTCAGATAAAGAACCTCAAGAACTTCGAAAGACAAGGAGAATGTTTTCATAAGGAAGTTCTTGAATGAGTAAAAATTGTCGATAAGTTATGACTTATTGATATAACCTCTGATAGGCAAACGTTACCTATTATAATCAAATTTATCTTCAGTTAACTATATCCACTTAACATTTCAACCTATAAGTAGCTCTAATAATCCTACACCCTACACTAGTTACAAGAGTCACTATAAAACCACCAATTACGACTTGTTACCCAAACCAGAAGGAGTAAATTGTGTATAGCTGCCACAATCAAATTGTTTCCCTCAAACAAAGTTCAATCCGTATCAAGGTCAAATCATAGTTTTTTTTAGAAAAAAAAAACTTATTTCAACCATAAAAACCTAAATATTTTTTTTTATCAATCATGTAATAAAATTTTAGAACTATCATGTTAGGTGATTTGATTGAAACCGAAATGAAACTTTTGTTACCTAATTAAAAAATTATCTAGTGATTAGAATATAATCGATCTCATAATTTAAAAAATATCTAGTGATTAGAATATATGGGATTGTTTTCATAATCATACCATATGAACAGTGCCATATTAAAGCTTTTTCGATCCGATATTTAGTGAAGAAAACAAATGAGCCCATGCACCACTAATTAAACTCCTTTGAAAACATATATATAAAAGCTTAATAGAACTTGAAAAGAAGAAGCTTTTAATGACATTGAAACATTAAAGACTGAAACAAACACAAGAATCAGCCAGAAATCTGCTGGGAATTGGTATCGGTGACATCACCGTCCTTCAACCCCAAATCATTGGGAGTTTTGTCGGGTTTGATACGAGAACCATCAAGATGGAACCTCATATATTCCAAAACGCCACCAGTTCGATCGCAGTAATCACGCATGAGATAGCGCAGCTTCATGTTCCGCCCCATCCAACAGCTAAATTTCTCAGCTTGCGTCTGTCCTTGCACTTTAACAACAATTGGGCCTTCTTCTTTCACCCGAGGCAGACTTATCACTGTCGACTCAGTTGCTGCTCTCACTGTTTCTCTTTTATTCATCTTTCCAGTTGCTGCTCTTGCTGATTCCCTTTTAAACATCTTTCAAGTTGCAACTATGGGTTTCTTTCACAATGAACAGACTCGAACACCAAACATGTACACTTTATATAGCATTTTCTAGATGAGAAAAAATAAATAAATGCTAAAGAGTTGTTTCATGAACCCAACAAATTAAGTGCTGAGAAAATTAGATATTCAAAAATTAAAAATTAATGTTGAATTTAAATCATAAATCCGTTCAGCATTTTGCTTAAACATTTTCCTTGGGAACATATATATACATTCATTGCATTTACTCCTATCTGTTCAGATATTCATGCATTGTTATTAGCTTAATTAATTCTCTAGATTGTTATTCGAATTCCTTGTACATCCCCAACTCCGTCTCTTTCATCGCAATTAATAATAATTTCAAACAAATTTTCTTTAAACAATTCCTGTCTAAAAAAACGAAATATTTTTTACTTCTAGTAGATATTAACCCACAATCTTAGAGAGAAAGAAGAGTTCTCGACTGAGAGCTTTCAATAATTTGTTCTGTTAACAATTTTAAATATTTCCATATATTAAATTATATAGTTTATATTTATGTTTTAAACTAGAAAAGTGAGAAATATAATTGACGATTTTTGTTGTAATGTTATTTAAAAGAGTTGATTGCATCAAATGTTTTTTTTATTGTTATATAGGTTCTAAATTATTTCTAAAACTTTAAAATATTATAATTAAATTCTGAAATAATCAAATATCATTTCAATCAGGTTTTTTCATCAGTTTAACAAGTAATTTGAACATTAAATGTCAGTTTATATCTAACATGAAGCATATTAATTTAAAATACAATGATTAAATTTTAAACATGTGCACATGTTGCATGAATAGTTTAGATCAGACATGTAAATAATATATATCATGATATTAAAATTTAAATAGGGTTTTTTATTTTTCTAAACACATATATCCAAGTCAATGCAATAGGTGCATGTTGTTTAAATTGGATTTACGTGTTTTAAATATACTAGGTGTCATGTCTAAGCTAATTTTTAACGCCAAAATTGATATTAAACTGACAGAATAAGCTGATTAAAATGATACTAGTAATTTGAAGATTGACATAGAACATTTAGAAGTTTGAAGATCAATTAAATTTAAGTAATAATTTAGGGATTTATTACAAGTAACTATATTTAAAATTAAGTCATTATTTTAAAAAAAAATATCATTAATTATATGTTTCTTTTTAATGATATCATCATAACCACTGGCACTTAACATTTTTGTATTTGGAAACATTTTAGTCTTAAATTACAGTTCATTCTAAAATCTGGATCTTGATAAGTGGCAATCAAGGGCCTTCGTTGATAGGACGAAGAAGTCGGAAAATGAAAAGGAATAAGTTCATGTCAAAGATGGAAACAATGAAAGATGATAATAAGTAAGGGTGCTCAATGAGTTGAGTAACTTATGATCAGTTCGAATTCGACTCTATCAAAACTCAGTTAAAGCTCGATTTAGGTTGACTCAACTTGAATTCAAAATTGAACTCGACTCGATACTTTAACGAGTTGAGTTGAGTCGAGTAAAATCCAATTATATTTGATAAATTTGTGAATGGCTCGTTAACTTTTTTTCTATATAACTCTGTAGTTTGTTGATTACAAGAAACAACGATGGAGTGAAGGGATGTTAATTTCTTTATTTTTAGGTTCATCATGTATTGTTGAATTTTTTATCCTTCTTTTACGAACTGCTTGATATGATTTTTTATTTATTTTAATAATCTCTTTTATTGAGATAAAATATTTAAACAAATCTTAACCATGGATCATTAAAGTCATGCTTACGTTGGATACATTTGGACACTCACATTGGCATTGATTATTCTCTTCCACTTGCAAAGGCCAAAGGACGAAAGGAGACAAAGTTTGAAGGAGTAAAAGCATAGTGTCCATGTATTTTACAACATTTTCGGAATTTATTTCCCATTTAATACTCAACTACTCCTATACGTCAGCGGCAAATATATACATGGATCTTGATGAAGCATCCTTCTTATTAGGTGCACCGACAAAATCTTTGAAAAGCAACAATAGTTATATATATTTATGTATAAATAAATAAAAGTTTTTTATGTATAAAAAATTGTCACTTTCATTTCATTTTTTTACTTTTGCTTATAGATTTTAAAAAGTAATATCGTGACCACTTATATTATCGATTTATAATGTTTTAAATTAACGGATGTTAAATATTATTATTCATTAATTTGATAATATTGCATGTTAGTTAAAGGGATTAAATTTTAATTTGATCATCAAATTTAGATAAAATATCAATTTAACCTTCAACTTCAAATAAAATTTTAATTTAACCTTTAAATCTGATAAAAAGTCTCCTAGCATCTGTCGCCACTCACCACTATCATTGATCATGTTAGTCGCCAATGACTCTCGCCGATGATGATCGTTGAACCTCATAATTTTTTTAATTCATTTTGTTTTAACCTCTTAAATATAAATCTGATGTTCGTTTCATTAAAAGTATAATAAATTCTGTAACTCTAGTGTAGAACTCATAACTTTCTTTAAAATTTAATAATAATAATAACAATGAATTTATGATTAATATTATTGGCATCACCAATGATTGATTACATAGTTGTTAAGTTTGGTGATCTTTCTAGTTACCCATTAAGTCAATTTTGAGAAATTTATTTTGTTGTTGAGAGCTAAGATCAATTATCCTAATCTATTACATTTATGTTTTATGATGATTTTTTATAAAAATAAAATAAGGTTCAAATTGTTAGTAAGTGGAAACTGCCTATGAACCAACAATGAACCTCGGAAATAAGATTATGTTTCTTGAGTTTGAACTATGATTATGGTATAGTATTAAAGGAAGGAAAGGGTTTCAAGTTAGACTGAAGTATAGGGATTTTTTTTTGTGAAATATGAATCAAATTCCCGTTCAGGAGGTCAAAAGAGAGTAAACCAAATTTTTTGAGGTCTGAATATCATCAACAACGACTAGCGATTGATAGTGATTAACGACGTTCGTCAACAATAATTGACGATGAGAGATTTTGAAGACTGTCTACCTGGAAAACAGCTTTGGAAGAAAAAAGACTAAGGATCAATATTGAAAAGACAGAGTATTTATGTTCAAACTTCAGTGAGAACCAAAATGATGAAGACGTAGAAATATGCATACAAGGACACGTTCTCCCCTCAAAGGATTGTTTCAAGTACCTAGGGTCTATGATACGTAAAGATGGGGGTGTAGATGAAGAAGTCTCACACCGTATAAAGGCGGGATGGCTAAAGTGGAGGACTGCTACTGGAGTTTTGTGTGACACGAAGGTACCTCTAAAACTTAAGGGAAAATTTTATAGAATGGCAATAAGACCAGCGTTGCTGTATGGATCAGAATGTTGGGCTATCAAGAAGGATGACGTAAGGAAGATAGAGGCCGCAAAAATGAGAATGCTTCGATGGGTGTGTGGTAGGACTCTATGGGACATGACACCAAACTCTGCTATTAGGATGTCCTTGGGGGTGGTGTCTGTATCCGAAAAATTGAGGGAGGGAAGACTACGGTGGTTTGGGCATGTCCAAAGACGACAACCATCGGATGCGGTTAGGAGGGTAGAGTCGATTACAGTCGACGGTACCAGAAGGAGAGGTCGACCAAGGCGGAAATGGGAAGACTTCTTGAGATCTGATTTAAAGGATTTAGCCCTTACTGAGGACATGACCTCTGATAGGAAATTATGGCGACTTAAGACCAGGGTAGCCGAGTAAGGAGAGTCACATCCATTGGGTGTATCATCTTTGTCTTCTTTTAATGCCTTTGTAGTACTTTCATTACTTATACTTTTTATACGTTTATGTCATTGGAATTAATGAAGGCCTAGAACTAAGGTAGCGGAGTTGTGTTGCCTTAGTTTAGGTTTTAACCCATTTGACTTTATCCATTCTCGAAGCCTACTATCGTTGAATTCCTAGTATACTGTTCTTCATGTTTCCTCTTTATAATTTTGGACGGGTCTTACTTTTCTGTATATATGCAGATATTTTTACGCAGGGGTGTATTTGCAGGGATTACTTCCCATTACAGACGTGCATATGAAGACTACATATGAAGATTGTCCAACTACGTATTTTATTTATTTATTTAAACATGCATTGTATTTTATCTTTATTTTAATTTTTGACTGCCGGAGGTCTTCCACGGAAGCTGCTCTCAACCTGGCGTTGGGGGACAGCCTACTATCCTACCTCCCCCTTACCCCATCACATATGGAATAGGGTTTTGTTGTTGTTGTTGTTGTTGAGAGATTTTGATTAAATTCATGAATTAAAATTTTCTAAAGTTTATCATTTAAATTAATATTTCATCTAAAATTAAAAGTCAAATTAAAAGTTAGAATATTTATTAAAATACCACATCAATAACATAAGTGACTAAAATATTATAAATCGATGACATATATTTAATCAATAACATATTTACACAAACATGAGTCGAATGTATGCGTGTTATCCTCTGTTTTGAAAATCGGATCGGACCGGCCGGTTCAACCGGTTCAACCGGGAACCGTTACTTAGTTCGGTTCAATCTAAACCGGTTGAACCGTTATTAGTGAACCGGCTAGAACCGCTGAACCGTTCGAACTGGACCGACTGAAAACCGGAAAAAATCGGGAAAAACCGGGATTTTTGTTTTTTTTTTAAAAAAAATTAAACCAAACAACGTCGTTTGTTAAACGAGCCAAGTCGAATTCGAGTATTGCTGAGCTCGACTCGAACTTGAAAACTTTAAAAGTAAGCTCAACTCAACTCAAACTCACAAGCTAAAAATTATCCAGTTCAACTCAAACTCGAAATATAATATTGAAACTTGAACTCAAAAAGGCTTGAACTCAAAAAAAAAATAGAAGCTCGATTGAAGCTTAAAATTCGAGCTTGATTGAAGTGAAAGAATAGTTATATAATTATAGTTATATAATTTTGTTATGATTTTTTTTAACCCCAAAT